TTCATCTCTTTAGAAATTTCCCTAGTACCACTTTCCAGTCAATGCCCCCCAACCTCAGGCAGCTGCTGTTCTGACTTCTATCACCATGGATTTGTCTTGTTTGTTCTTGACTTGCCAGCATATAAATGGAATCCTGCAGTTTGCACTTTTTGGTATGCATCTCTTTCTTTCTACATTATGTTTTGGAGATTCATTTGTGCTGTTCTAACAATTCCAACCTGTGTGGTGTTTTTATATTGGATTTGCAGGAATAAGTGGAGGTGGTAAATTCAGGCCTAACCAGATCAATTTCATTAATGATAGATTTCCCTAGAATGGGCTTAAGTCAACTGCCATAGACTGCAGTAATGCTGGTTAGACATGGCAAGGGGCTTTTGATTAAAAAGAAGTTGGCTCCAAAGCAATCTTGAGAAAGAAGAACAAAGTGGGAGGAATCATGCTCTCTGATTTCAGACTATAATACAAAGCTACAGTAATCAAAGGTGTATGGTACTGGCACAAAAACAGACACAGATCAATGAAACAGAAATAAATCCATACTTACATGGTCAGTTAATCCATGCAAAGGAGGCAAGAATATATAATGGGGAAAAGACAGTCTCTTCAATAAACGGTATTGGGAAAACTGGACAGCTACATGCAAAAGAATGAAACTAGACCACTTTCTTATACTATACACAAAAATAAACTCAAAATGGATTAAAGACTTAAATGTAAGACCTGAAACCATAAAAACTCCTAGAAGAAAACATAGGCAGCATGCTCTTTGACATCAGTCTTAGCAATATTTTTAGGGATCTGTCTCCTCAGGCAAAGGAACAAAGGCAAAAATAAACAAATGAGACAACATCAAACTAAAAGGCTTTTGCACAGCAAAGGAAACCATCAACCAAACAAGAAGGCAACCTACTGGATGGGAGAAAATATTTGCAAATGATATATCTGATAAGGAGTTAATATTTAAAATATACAAAGAACTCATATGACTCAACATCAAAAAAACAAACAGTACAATTAAAAAATGGGCAGAGGAGGAGCTGAATAGACATTTTTCCAATAAAGACATACAGATGGCCAACAGACACATGAAAAGATGCTCTACATCATTAGCCATCAGGGAAATGCAGATCAAAACCATAATGAGATATCACCTCACATCTGTCAGAATGCCTATTATCAAACAGACAATGAATAACAAGTGTTGGCGAGGATGCCAAGGAATCCTCATAAACTGTTGGTGGGAATGTAAATTGGTGCGCCCAATATGGAAAACAGCGTGGAAGTGCCACAAAAAATTAAAAATAGAACTATCATACTATCCAGCAATTCCACGTCTGAGTATTTATCCAAAGAAATGAAAACACTAATTCGAAAAGATATATGCACCCTCATGTTCATTGCAGGATTATTCACAATAGCCTAGATATGGAAACAATCTAAGTGTCTATCAATAGATGAATGGACAAAGAAGACGTGGTATATATATACAATAGAATATTACTCAGCCATAAAAAAGAATGAAATCTTGCCATTTAAACAATATGGATAGACCTAGAGGATATTGTGCTAAGTGACATGTCACACAGAGAAAGACAAATACTGTATGATTTCACTTATATGTAGAATCTAAAAAAAAAACAAGGGGCTGGCCCAGTGGCGTAGTGGTTGGGTTCACGAGCTATGCTTCGGCAGCCTGGGGTTCATGGGTTTGGATCCCAGGCACAGACCTACACTCCACTCATCAAGCCATGCTGTGGCTGCATCCCACATGCAAAATAGAGAAAGACTGGCACAAATGTTACTTCAGCAACAACCTTCCTCAAGCAAAAAGAGGAAGATTGGCAACAGACGTTAGCTTGGGGCCAACCTTCCTCACCAAAACAAAACAAAACTAATGAACAAACAAAACAAAGCAGAAACAAATTCATAGATGCAACTAGTGGTTGGCAGAGAAGAAGGGTGTGGGGGGATGGGAGAAATAGATGAAGGGGTTAAGAGGTACAAATTTCCAGTTATAAAATAAATAAGTCACAGGGACATAATGTACAACATCGCGAATATAGTCAGTAATGTTGTAATAACTTTGTATGGTGACAAATGGTTACTAGACTTGCTGTGTGATCATTTCATCATGTATGCAAGTGTCAGATCGCTATGTTGTACACCTGAAACTAATATATTACATGTCAACTATACTTCAATAAAAAAAACAAAAACAAAAACAAAAACAACTAGCCTGGCTGGAGCCAAAGGCTTGTGCTGAGCAGACGTGGAAAGTAAAATTTGAGTTAAATTGTAAAAAAAAAAAAGAAGGTGACAAAATGTACCTTACACCTCACATTTTGACCCCACTATTCTGCATTTAGGAGTTTCTCTTACAGATAAATATACTCACACATGTGTGACATGATGTTTGCACAGGGATATGAATAGCAGGATTATTTTTCATAGCCAAGGGTTAGAAATAAACGAATGTCCTTCAGTAGGGATCTGATTAAATAAATAATAATGAATCCAGACACTGGAACACTCTACAGTCATGAAAAAAATGAGGAAGTTCCTTACGTACTGTAAGGAGATGATTTTCAAAGTGCAAAAAGCAAGATGCAGAACAGTGTGTGTTCATTCACTTCTTCAACAAATACTTACGAAGCAACTACAACTCTACGTGCTGAGGATGCAGCATTATACAAAATAAAGTTCCTTCCCGTATGGAGCTTCCATTCTAGTGGGGGAGATGGGAGAAAAGAATAGACATATGAAAAAGATGTTTGTAGAGTGTGCAATCGTTAATGCAAAATAATATAATCAAGGAGGGAAGAAAACATAAATGTGTTCTTTTACATATGCGTAAAATATCTATCTTGGAGAAGATATACCAGAAACTGGTAGCACTGGGGAAGGGAACTGGGAAGCTGGGGGACACAGTTAGAGGAACTTTCTGCTCTTTGTATTTTCTGAATTTTTAAATTCTTGACTGTGTTACCCAATCCAGAATTAATGGATATAATTACATTTTTTTTTAAGTTGGAAGAAGTATTTGGCAGTATTTCCAAGCACCTGGGCCCTCAAGTTTTGGGAAACGCCCTATGGTTTCTTAATCAGGGCAGGAGGAAAGGGCTGGCTCCCAGCTGTCACTCACTGCAGGCATGCACCAAAGTCAGAACACCTCTCTGGTAAGATGAAAGAGGCACCGAAAGGCCAGAAGGAAATAAAATGAGTCTTCAGTCACATATGTTTCACGGGCACTTATAAAAGACTTAGGCAGCTCCTTCCTAAATTTGAATGAATGTCAAGAGAGAATCATTTCAGGAAATGTGAGTTCCTCTCTTCAAACTTTTTGGGACCATCCCCTTCTGGTATGAATTGCATAGAGCCAAGTTCATTCACAGGGAACATCTGTGTGTGAGGAAGTGGAGGGATGGGGAGCATGATAAAGAGACCATCCGATGCTGAACTTGAACACCTTGTCTTTTTTCCCAGCTTCCCTTGGATTGCCTGTTTGTTTGGTTATACGGAAGGAAAGGCTATAAAACATTTATGATTTATTATCCAGGTTTATTCATACAATATGTGAAAGTGGCAATACCGAAGAGAAGCTTGACTGAAATCTGCACTCTTTGTGGATGTTGTATTCTAGAAGCTCCCCAGAGTTGTTGGACGATGGTTCTATGACTACTGTCTCCTCAGGGCCTCTAGTCAACCAAAATGGAAAAAAAAAAAAAAAAAGTTAGGCTTTGAATAACAAGTTTATAATTATTTATCTTGTCTCACAATAAATTACCCTTTTTAAAATCCTACCACTATTTTTCTTATATTTTATTAACTTTTAATTACTAGTTAATATAGGAATACATTCTTCTTTTTTGAAAAAATTAGAGTGTTGCAGACGAAGTTTTGGTTCTCTTTAATCATTCCTCACAGTGCTAATTTAATTGGTCTGGAGTGTGGCTGGCAAGTAATTATTATAGTGATTCTAATATGAAAACCACTTGTCTAACGGTTATAGGAACCCAATATTTTTTGAAACTCAATATCTAGAAATGATGGGAAATTATATGTATATATTTACTGCAATAAATGGTTTTCTTTCTCTAAGTGAAGAGTGAGATTTGCTTTTGAGACAGATTGCATTTTAGCAAAAAAACCTGAATGAACTTTTGGGTTGTGCAAATAAAAAGCCAATATGCAATCCTAGAATGGAGTTCAGGGACAGTGAGACCCTAAACTTATCATATAAAAGTTGTCATTATCATGGGCATGTTGCGCCTCTGCAAATTATTAAGATGTGGCTTCAGACTGGGGGTTAGGAAGAGCTGACTGAGAAGTTCCTTGGCTAGAGAGAGGGAGGGCTGTCAAAGACCCTTGTGGAAGGGTAAGGCCAAGAAACTCAAGGACTGTGCTGTCCAACACAGTAGCCACCAACTGCATGTGGTCCTTAACTTTTAAATGCAAGTGAATTAAAATTAAATCAAATTAAAAATTCAGTTTCTGAGTCATACTAGCCACATTCTAAGGGCTCAATAGCCACATATAACTAGTGGCTATCATATTGGGTACAAATATAGACCATTTCCATCATTAAAGAAAGCTCTATGGAACAGTGCTACTGTAGAAATTATTTTATGTGGTCTTATCTAGTAGCTAGTTTTAAATTTTCTTTCCTGAAATGTAATTACTTGCTTTATCACCAAGCCTTCAACACAGTTTTAAAATAATAGTAACAGCTAACATTTACTGAACACTTTGTATTGATCAGTCTTTTTCGTTGAGCATAACAGACTTCACTGTCTAATTTAAGCACAAAGAGATTTATTAAAGTGTATGGAGAGCTCACAGAATCATTAGGAAAGTTAAGAAATAGACTCCAAGCTAAATACCCAGGAATGACTTCCAAAATTACACTGCAGAACTGGGTTGACAAGCAAGCCACAGTCCCTGCCACCATCCAGAAGTTTCAGAACTGCTAATCCGTCACCACAGCTACTGGTTCCAGAATCACGTTGCCCTTGCCATGATCAGCACCAGCAAAATGGATGCCTCACACTTGCCTCTTCCTCCACAGAACTCACAGTTCTAAAGTCTCACAATAGTGGAATCTGTAACACAAACAGAACCGTAGCTGCAAAGGAGTTTAAGCAATGGAGTAAGTGTTTAGCTTTCCAGCCTCTGCAGTTCAGAAAGCAAGCTAGAAAGGGATTGGAATGAATTTCAAGAAAATGAGCCTAAAGTATCTGCCATGACTTGCCGTATGCCAGGTTCCGTAAACATGCCTGATCTCATTTCATTCTTACAAGAATTTAGTAAGGGCTTATAATTATCCCCTTTTGACAGATGAGGACACTACAGTAAATGGTGGACACACAGTATGGTCTTGGTTTTGCTTTGAGAAGTTGAAAGAGGGCCCTCTGTCCACTCTTGGAGAGAAGTAAAGTGAAGCGGGGAAGACAGAGCTGCCTGGAGAAGCCGGGATGAAAGACGACAACCCACGAAAATAAAGCAGCAGTCCCAAGGTGACAAAGGACAGCCAGAATGAATTTGAGAACTCAGGAGTGGTGCTGCTCTATGAATTCATGCCAGATTCCAGAGTCCCTGCTCTCTCCACAAACACATGCTGCCCTCAATGGGAAAAACCAGAACTTACACACACGTAACAAACATGTAAGAACACTTCCCTGGTTACAGTCCAACCACTCCAGTTGGATTGGTAGCACAGAACACAGCGCAAAAGTAAAGAACTCAGCAAGGAAGGCTTCCAGAAGGAGGTAAGTTTTCAGTCGGTTTTAGAAGAGAGGCGAAGTTTTAGTTTACATATGGCTGTCAGAAGGCAGATGAAAAGATGAAAGAACTCACACGCCCTCATGCCAAGACTCAGCAGCTGAAGGGGGCAGCCTTGGAGCAAATCAAAGCAATGTCCTTGATTGAGGATGAAAGAGGTGAGTCAGTGTTTAGGAGAAAACAACAAATAAGCTGGCTGGGAAAGGAAATGATTGCAGGATAAAATCATGTGAAACCCTTCCTATGATTATAGTCATATTAAAATATTAAAGTATGTATTGAAATTCAATTTGGAGCAGAATGAAAATCTTGGAGAGTAGGACCTAGAAATTTTCTGACAAGCACTCCAGGTTGATTCTCTTGCTTTGCCTGTCATGAGGTCTATTCCCGGGCTCAGCTCTGTTTCCCTGTGACGTAGCCCAAGCTTCAGGTGCACAGGGGCTGGGGCCCCTTTGCCACATCCTTCTTTACTGGAGACATTCTAGTGGGATCAAAAGATAACTATGTCAGAGGGAAGACTAAACCTCAAGGAAATGGGTTGTTCCGTGCTGAGTGATTCAGAGAAATTTGAGAAAGAAGCGTCAATATCCCAGAAATGTGGTTGTATGCATGATTCTTACTTTGCTGGAGCTTTATCAAACAATATTATTAACTAACAATTCAACAAGTCTTTCCATCTGCCAGGGCCAATGCTAAGCAATTTAATAGGGCACTACATCATTAACCCTCACAGCAATTACCTACACTAGAGGCTGTTAGTGTCCCCATTTTACAGCAAGGAAACTAAGGCTTAGAGGTCCCACAGCTAAGAACTGGACTCCATAGCCCATGAATTTAACTAGCCTGATTTTTTCTTATTATTATTTATATTTCCCTATTATCTTTTACATGTTATGTTTGTTTGCTTGTTGGCTCCCCACTCCTCCAAAAACTAGAAGTTTCTTAAGTGCAATGATGAAGTCTAATTCATCTTTTGATACCCTTCTCCCCAGAACCCTACAGAAACTAGCACATAGTGAGTGCTTAATATACGTGAGCTAGACGCAATAATCATTCACTTTGTATGCTTATACCTAACTACTCTTGCAGATACAGCTTCCAGATGACAAGTAGATGACATGAGTACTCTCATTTCCTATAGTGCCACAGTCAAGTGTGAGGGTCTTGGTGCCTCAGCCACTTACTAGTGGTGTAACCTTGGGCAAATGTTAAAAGAAAAAAAAAGTTTTATTGTTTATAAAGGATTATCTGTAAAAAGAGGACTGCTGTTGGGGCATGAAGAAATAGCTGGAAAAGATTCAGATCATAAGATTCAGATGCGTAAAAAAAAGTATGTATTTTCTAAGAGTGGTACATGGGTGGGTTCTCAGAGGAGCCAGCGTCTTGCTAGAGCAGCCAGAGCCTGCTGACTCTCTCAGGTCCCTCCTATCAAGAAGGATGGAGCAGCAAGAACAGGGACTTGTGGTTAAATGTTAACTTGTGTTTATTTCTCTACAATTGCCTGCTGTTTCATTTGGCCAACCCAGTGAAGATTCTTTCGTAAGCCTGTGTGTAATTTCTAAACACCAGACTTACGACCTTTATACACATGCTAAACATTTATGGAGTGGGAGAATTCTCCTTTTTCTTCATCCGTGAATTGAATAAATATCAACATCCTCCCTTGCACCCCCAAAAAGTATTCTTTGATCTACACTAAAGATAAACCAGTAGTAATTCATCCTGATCAGCTAAGGGCTGTAAAGCAGATTCTTTGATAAGCCAATTAATTTCAGAGTGTAGTGGGGCTTGTTCCTTCATGATGCTGATTTAGATTCTTAAAGCCATAGAATGTTAGAGCTGGAAAGAGGCCTTTTAAGAGTATCTCGTCAAATGCTCTGATTTTAGCAGATGAGAAAACTGTAAGTTCCAAAGAGAGAAAAGGACCTTTAGACTTGTGCACAGATGTTAATAAAGAGCTGTATAGGAAATGTTTGTCTCAACAATTCCTCTACTATTTTAAGATTTCTGAGCTGTTGCTTTTTGTTTCCTTTATAATCTGGTGATCCAAGTGCAGAATTTGGGCCTGGAATTGGAAATCTGTGGACACTAATCTTCAGCTTTGTGCTGACGTCAGAGGTAATTGAGAATCACTGCTGCCCCCTGCTGGAAATGTAAAATCTCACAGGCTCTCAAGGTTATAGCAATTTTGTTTGTTCGTTTGTTTTAAAGATTGGCACCTGAGCTAACATCTATTGCCAATCTTCTTTTTCTCTTCTTCTTCTTCTCCCCAAAAGCCCCCAGGACATAGTTGTATCTTCTAGTTGTGAGTGCCTCTGGTTGTGCTATGTGGGACACCGCCTCAGCAGGGCCTGACGATGGATGCCATATCCGCGCCCAGGATCTGAACCAGCGAAACCAGGGGCCACAGAAGCAGAGCACAGGAGCTTAACCACTGGGCCACAAGCCGACCCCTGGAATTTTTTTTAACAGTCAAAAAAATTATGAAAGTAATAGTTCCTTCGGTTAAAAGTTTAAACAGCATCAAAGCATATAATGATCAAAGCAAAATCTGCCCCCTCTCAACCCCACTTTCCAGGCACAACTGTTAATTTTTTTGAAGATTCTTCCACAATTATTTTCTATTCATGTATCTATGTATATATTTACACATATGTATATATCTTTTACACACAAATAGGGCAATGCTATATGCACTGGTCTGCAACTTGTTTTTCTCTTTTTTATTTAATTTATCTTACTGATTTTGAGTAGACAATACATTCAAAAGCTTCCTAAATTTTTTAAGAAACAATATGTCTTGAACATCCTTTCAAAGCAGTATATATTGGTGAAACTCATTCCTTTTGATGGAGGAATAATATTCCATTGCTTGGGTGTATCATAAATTATTCATTGAGTCCTCCTCTGATGGACTAAAATGTAAATCTCTATAAGAGTAGGTACTTTATTAACTTGTTGTGGTCATTACTCACTGCTGTCCCGGATAATGAGAAGAATACGCAATAAAATTTGTTTAATGAGTAAGTGGACATTTTTCCAGTTTCAAGTATTTCTCTGCTTCAAAAATGCTGCCCTGAATGTCCTTGTGCCTGTACTTTTGAGAAAAGGATAGTGTAGGAGGAAGTGCAGGTTCAAAGATGCGTGAATTTTAAGTTTTGATAGATACTGCCAAATCGGTACTTTTGATGACAAATGGATGCAAATGTAATTCTATCATTCCCATAACTGACTGAGCATCAAAACCAGAATGTCCCAGAGAATTAACTAAAAAGAGCTCCTCTCTGCACATCCCTTCTCTGTTCTAATTCAGGAGTTAGGGTGGGAGGAGGAATCTGTATATTTAACAGCCCCACCCGGCATGGTGATGCCAATGCACACTCCGGACTGCCAGCGACCACATGATCCACCCGTTTCTTGCTACACTGCAGCAGACAGGAGTGTGCTCCTATCTCCTAATCCTAACATGGTTCCTCATTTGTTATTCACCCAATGCTTGTTGAGTGCCTACTGTGTACAAGACCCTATGCTCTCTCACCCAGAGGCAAGATTGTACGGGGGTGTGGTATGGATTTCGCCACTCCCATGGGTGGTGGCGCTGGGGGCAAATGGGTGAGTTTGTTGGTGTGAGTTTGTTGGTGTATGTGTGTTGGCGGACGGCTGGGGTTTGGGGAGGGAGCAGTGTGTAGGTGAAACTCAGGAATCCTGCAGCACGACAGTTGCAGGAATTTTTTAAAAGCCTAGCCCTGCCCTCAGTGACACGTGGGTACGTCTAACACACATAGGGCAGGCACAACTTCTAGGTCTTCTCAGGCCACTGGTACTGGGGGTCGCCACAAGCCAACGCGTGGGGTGGGACATGGTCCTTTCTCTCTGGGCACTTCTAAGCCAGAGAAAGTATAATGCAGATGAGACATGCATGGGAAATTGCCATGAACAGCCAACAGATCGCAGACATAAAAAGAGATGACAGATTCCACTGTCATTCATGACCCACCCAAATGTCACATCCTCTGGGCTCTTTCCCTGATGACTCCAGCCCCAAGCAGGTGTTGTTTCCACGCACTCCATGGCACTTGAAATATAACAACAGAAAAAAACGAAAACCAACCAAACAAACTCCTACTACTGCTCCCTGAGGCTTACTATGTCAGAACTTCTAGCCGCTTTACTTCCTCACCTCATTTTATTCTCTCAACGGTGCAGGAAACTCAGAGAAGTTAAATAACTAGATAAAGGTCACAGCATTTGTTTAGTAGAATGATCTTCACATTTTCTTGCTTGCACATCTCATCAAATAATTTTGAAAAATTGTGTATCCTTAGAAACAGACACACACACATCTATGGCCACTTAATTTATAACAAAGGAGGCACTACACAGTCGGAAAAGTTCCTTTTAATAAATGGTGCTGGGATAGCTGGATACCCATATGGGAAAAAAATGAAATTGGACCCTACTTCATGCCATACACAAACATCAACCCCAGGAGGATAAAAGACTTAAATGCGAAAGGCAAGAATCTATAGCCTTTTAGAAGACAACACGTGAAAATTATATTTTCATGACTAATGAATTTGGAAAACATTTATTAAACAAGCCACTATCAGCCCTCATTTAAAGGAAAAGAATGATAGCTTCAATTACACTAAAGATACACATTTTGGTTCATTAATGTACTCCATAAAGAGTATAACAGATAAATCACAGAGTGAGAGAAGATATTTAAAACAAATATAACTATATGCTCTTCAGATTGTTGCAATACTAGGCTAAGGCAGCAGTGTTAAATGGTAGAACGACCTTGGAAAACAGTTTGGCATTCTTTTGTATGTACGTTATACTGCACAATAAAAAAGAAAAACAAAAGAAATCATCACCTAAGAATGTATCCACTTGCACATTTTAAAGCTGACATCTAAAAGTTTTCATCTTATTTACCTTTTTTTTTTTTTTACTTGAACAAGAATGCTTACAGCGGCCTTATTTGTAATTGCCCCCAACTGGAAACAACCCCATATCTATGGAGAATGAATAAATAAATTGTGGATTTTTCATACAATGAAACTCTACTCAGCAATAGAAAGCAACAACATGGATGAATCTCAAAACCATCATTGCACAAAAGAAGTCAGACACAAAGAGTACCTACTATATGATTCCGTTTCTATGAAATTCAAGAACAGACAAAACTAAGATGTCCAAAACCCAAACAGTGATTAGGAGATGGGGACTGACTTGAAAGGGGCCCAAGGGAACTTTCTGGGGTGATTCATCATGCATTTAACTAGACGGAAAGGATGTAATTTCTGGCACATTATAGATTTTCACATTTAAAAATAAAGTGTTATATCACTGTCATAAATATATCCAATGAAACACAAATACCATAGCAATTTGATATCCACCACCATCCTTTTAAACATTAAAAAATATGAGCCAAGGGGCTGGCCCCGTGGCCGAGCGGTTAAGTTCACGCGCTCCGCTGCAGGCGGCCCAGTGTTTCGTTGGTTCGAATCCTGGGCGCAGACATGGCACTGCTCATCAGACCACGCTGAGGCAGCGTCCCACATGCCACAACTAGAAGGACCCACAACAAAGAATATACAACTATGTACCGGGGGGCTTTGGGGACAAAAAGGAAAAAATAAAATCTTAAAAAAAAAAAAAATATGAGCCAGGACAGTTCCACAAAGACAGAAGCTGCACTCAGGACCCTTCCAGACCTCACCCTGTGACCATCTTCATCTGGTTGTTCATCTGTATCTTTTATGATATCACTTATAATAAACTGGTAAATGTAAAATAAATAAATAAATAAAAAGTAAAAAATATGGACAAACCCTTCTTGAACAGTCATACACTTTAAATCATTCTTTTTCCCCTTGTCTCCCACTACGTATTACTCTAATGTAACATATTTTTATGTTTGAAAGTCCCTTATTCGTCAACCTATTATTCTGCAACCATATATGACTACACATTTAAATTTTAAAATCTTAAAAAATACACTATACTATGATCATAAGGCTCTAAATATCAACAATTTTCTTTGGGCTTAAGTTAGCATTATAATTATTAGTTATACACTAATAATATTGATCAAAGGAGCATAAAATTATTTCCATTGAAAATTCATCTCAATGAAATGAATGGGAGAGTAGTTACTGGGACCTTAATTAGTCTTTTGAATTATGCTTTTGTTTGCATCCAGATTCAGTTTCTAAGGTCATAATATATACCACAGGGGGCTGGTCCCATGGCCGAGTGGTTAAGTTTGTGCGCTCTGCTACCACAGCCCAGCATTTCGCCCGTTCGGATCCTGGGCACAGACATGGCACTGTTCATCAAGCCATGCTGAGGCAGCATCCCACATGTCACAACTAGAAGGACCCACAACTAAAAATATACAACTATGTACGAGGGGGCTTTGGGGAGAAAAAGGAAAAATAAAATCTCACATAATAATAATAATAATATACACCACAGTAAGATTCAGATGTATGCCTTATCTTTTGCAAAGTGGGAGAAAGATGATGGGGAAGTGTTCTCAGGCAGATAAGTCTTAAGAAAGACAACACATGAAGGTCGATCCCCCTGGAAAAGTCTTCATGCCCAGGGGTCTATGTAACTCCAGTTTGAAGACCTCCAGTTTAGAAAGCAGTGGAGATGGAATTCCAACCCAGATACATCTGACTCCCAGCCTAGATTCTTTCAACTGTCCCATACAATCCTAATTTATTCCTTATGACTTTGGCTTGAAAAGAGCACTTTAGGAGTATTTATTTGAGGGGGGGTGGCTATAGAAGTAATACTTAACCATTGCTCAAAATTAAAATATAGTGTCATTGTTTTTACATGTTGGTCCCCCATCTAGACCTTGAACTCCTTGAGAGCAAGATTATATTTGTGCCCCTAGAACCCACAGAGCTTTGACTCATAGAGCAAGAGCTCAATAAATGCAGAGGCAAATGCCTAAGATCATTTCTGAGTCTCTGACCTGCATGGATAAGGGCCCCAGATTTGAGAGGTGATATCAATCAGTGGCTCAGCTTTGGAGTTTAATATCCCATTATTTCCATCAGTCCCTTCCTCCATTCTTTGCTACAGACAACTGATGTTTTCTCAAGCTAACATCCAACGCTTGGTGCACTTGGCTTCAACACAATGCCCTCGTTTAGCCTTCCAACTAGATTGTCTCCTGCTCCCACCCCAAAGGCCTCCTTTATCGAATTTCTGTAACTCTAATGGATGATCACAGACAACCTTCACCTGGGGAATTTGGGAGATGCCAGCCATGTGTGACGACACAAACATTCCATGTGCTGAATGGAAAGGCCTGAAGAACCTCCAGTCCATGCTGGGCTTCATCCTCTGCTGCTCTTCTCCAGCCCACAGAAGCCAGAACAGTGTTTCCCAGACTTCTGGCATTCACAGGTTACCTTCATGATTTTTGGTATATCCACGGGCCACCTGTACTTACATCATACTTTTCTTTAGATGACTCATTTTTTTAACCTAAATACCGACTTGAGCTTTGTCCTGAGCATTATATCCAAGTGATGACAGGCTTGATGACATAGACATATTTCAAATGCATGTTTTAAAAAGTTCATTATTAGTAGTATTTTTAAAAATGTTAGTCGGTGTACCACATGAGATAATCTCACATAACACACGACAGGAAATGCTCTGTCCTAGACAGGAAGTCGGTAGACTCTGGAGCTCTCCTGAGCCTCTTCTATGAATCAGGCACCGCGCTGAGGCTTCACAAAGGATAATATTTATTGGAGATCTTTTCCCCCTTGTAAAAAATTGGGAAAACATAGAAAAGTCTAAGGAAGAAAACTTGAAATCTCTTGTCGTTCTTTCTTAGTTAATATCAAACAGATCTGGATCTAAAATCTGACTCCGGCGTGTACCTATTATGACATCTTGAGCAAGTCACTTGACCTCCCGGAGCCTGTTTATTCATCTGTAAAACTGGCACAATAATACCTTTTTTGTAGGATCTTGGTGAAGATTAAATGAA